ATCAGAAATAGAGCGTATGTAAATATAAATATAAATGTATATATATATATATATATATAAAAGTGAACTAGCATGAAACAGCCTGTAGCCTTTGAGTGTTAACTTCAATGTTACCTTTCATATATATATATATATATATATATGAAAGGTCAGCATGCTCAAAACCTCTGTCACGATGACTTGTGACTTCGCGCTAGTGCAACCATCGTCTACCGAATTTCACTCACTAGGCTTGGATCAACACGTGGTATGGTTTTCAGGCTCTTTTTAAAGGTGCTGCACGCTGGGCTCGCCACTTTTGACCGATAACACCAGGCAGTCAGCTTTCTGACCAATCGACCCTTGTGACATATATATATATATATATATATATATATATATATATATATATATATATATATATGTATGTATTGAGCAGTTTATAATGATTTCTGTAAAAATCCAAATCGTACACAATCCAATAAATACGATGGAAAAAGCTCAAAGGAACAAGTCTTGCACAATGTAATCGAAAATTGCAAGGACACATACACTCTATTAAATCGATAGATTGATATATTTTCGATTAACTGAAGACATCTTATATATGTAAATTGTTACCTAAGTTTATTCTGAAACAATTTTCCTTCTCATTCGAGACAGACCTTTGCCTCTTAGTTGTTGTTTTTTCTAACATATATATATATATATATATATATATATGTGTGTGTGTATGTATGTATGTATCTTTTATTTACCACAAGTCACCCAACATTTATTTGCTCGACCTGAAATAATTCCAGCAAAGAGATGGAAACGGAATCAGACAGAAAGACATAAGAAAGACAAAAATGAATTCTGTTTTTTTTTCTTTTTTTTTTTTTTGTAAATGAAAGAGAGAGAAAAATAGTTTTAAAAAATAGATTAAGAATCAACGTTTTGGTTACGATGATTGATGGTCCTTAAAAAATTCCCCTAGAGTTTCTCGATAGATGGCGTCGCTGCTTGCATCAATCGTGTGGCGGTGTTGGTTTGAGCGCGCATAAAACAGAGGCAGGGCGCGTTTGAAATGAGTATATGTGCTGTCCGTAGAAGGGTCCGTAAAAAGAGAATGAACATTTCATCTCTTGGGAAGTCACTCTAGACTTATTTGATTTGGCGGGAAAATCAGGTGCCGTACTGTTTGATCTGACCAAGGCATCCATCGCTGGAAATGGCGTCTGCCCTACATAAATGTTGAAGTTGGGGTGGAGTGTCTGATCGAAACAGAGGCCAATTAAACAAGAGATTGTTTTATTTTCTCATTCTTTTCTTCTTCTTTTTTTGTGTTTTATATTATAGAACGTTTTCACTAGAGATTTAGACGGCGTTCAACGACTGTGAACAGTGAGAAAATAAAAGGAAGAATACAATATGTAGACTGAAAAAAGAAGAGTAAGTCTCACGATTTGGTATGAAAAAGTAATATATATAGGCTAACGAAAAAATTAATTCGGAAATGTATGAGACTTGATACTTTAAGGGAAGACGTCCTCTAATTACAGCAACAAAATGCAACGAACTAAAAATATATATATTTACAGAATTATTCTTTTGTTCCTTTATCATAGCAACCAGTTTCTTTAACATACCAACACAGAAAATATTGATGCGGAAGTTTCAGGAAATTCCTATATATAAATTTCTGTTGAATGTTGATTCTTCCGTTAATGATTCAATAAGATCATTGCAATAAAATAACAGTATATTAGTTGTTTGCTACGATTACTGTTGTAGAGGGTTTGTAGATGTTTTTTTTTGTAGAAACTGTATTCATTATATATATATATATATATATATATATATATATATATATATATATATATATATATATATATATAGCCTTGGATGGCAACTGACCCTAAGAAGGACAACTTTGAATTCAAAACCTGCGGAGGGTCGTTTGAGGATCATGTGACACTTGGTGCCCCAGGTTTCTGTATTCAGCCCCTCAAAAAGTGTGGTTGCTTCTGTACAAAGCCTTCACCGCTATAATCAAATCATATGTACAGGTGTCTGCCTGTTAGGTCCTAAAAACTGAGTTGCTTGAACCTCATAAGTCGATAAACGACGGAAGAGTCCAGCATATATATATATATATATATATATATATATATATATATATATATGTGTGTGTGTGTGTGTGTGTGTGTGTGTATGACATTATATTATATATATATATATATATATAAGTGAACATTAAAGTCAACACTTAGACGCGACAGGCTGTTTCATGCTAGACGCAATCGTGTGGCCTGGTGATTGCGTCTAGCATGAAACAGCCTGTCGCCTCTAAGTGTTGACTTCAATGTTCACTTTTATATTTACACACGCTCTACCTAGGATATTGGGCAGTTTATCCCATAAATATAGCAAATCTTAAAACTATATATGCAGTTGGGAAGACAGCAGGGCCTGACACAAAATGATTTTAACTTTTTCTCTTTCTAACAGGATAACTTGAAGAGTTTTCCAGTAATTCTTACGACAAATGACGTCATGATAGCTAAGCGACTTATCTTTAAACACCGGGAAAAGAAACTCAATTCGTTTAATGGTTTTTAGATATTAAATATTTTGTGGGATTAACAATTATGCTAATGCACCCGTATATATATATATATATATATATAATGGAACTCCGATTCCTCAATCCAAGCCGCTATCCATTACTCCACCGTGCTAATACCTTACGTGCTAATACCCTTGAGAAAGGTGTGAATCCTCTTCCTCTGCCTCCAGCTATTGGTAAAATAGCAAGACAGACTGGGTTCTATAGCCTTGGATGACAACTGGTCTAGGAGAAGGACAACTCTGAATTCAAAACCTGCGGAGGGTCGTTTGGGAACCTTGTGGCATTCGATGCACCAGGTCTCTGTATTCGTCCCTTCAAAAAGTGTGGATGGTCCTGCACGAAACCTTCACCACTATAATCAAATCTCATGTGCCGGTTTCAGGCTGTCGGTTTCCTGGAAACTGATCTGCTTGGCCCTCATACGTCGAACCCGACAGGAGAATCGATTATTATATATATATATATATATATATATATATATATATATATATATATATATATATATATATATATATATATAATTAGCTACTATATATTTCTATAATATTCACTCCCCTCTAAATCTTCAAATGCCTTATGTATAACTAATTCTAATTTCTAAACCTCCCTCTATAATCTCTTTACCTATATTAATTGAAATTTATAAACTTTCACCTAGTTTAATTCCCTCCAACTCTCTTTCCATTAATCCCTAACATCCTTTTATCGAAATATTTTAAAGTCATTTTAAACAACTTTTATTTCCTCTTTTAATTTTTATTTAATATTTCATTCTTCATCAAAACCCCAAATTGATATCATAAGGTTAATATTCGGGTTTAATTTTATAAAACTTCTTCCCTTTAAGACAAATACTTGCCGCCTTCCCCTGACCACTGTCTCGTGCTTTTCGTCTGACTGAAACATTGAAATGGATAAACTGTGTATTAGTTTTTGACTGTTTTCTATCCTTTTCTTTTTCTTTTTTTTTTTGGCTTTCGCAGTTAAATTTCTATTTCTGATGCGAACTCAGTCCACACCGGGATTGATAAGACAGACTACTGATCTCTTCGTCTGCTGAAATATGCTATTCCCCATATGAGGAGATTTTGGATTTTATTGTTTATTAAATATCTGCTCTGTAATAATAAATACATTGAGCTCTTTTTGAGGAGCAATTTTAATATTTTCTATTACTAGGATCAACTTGGATTATATACCAACGGATTTTTTACCTTTACTTTTGATTATATAGGTTGACCCCAAAAAACGGGAACTTTTTAACAATCCAATAAAACCAAGAACGATAAAAGAAAAATATTTTATTCATAGGAGTTGAAACCTTAAAACATGCCATTTAAGAAACAATGAGGGAATTTTTCATTTATTTTAAATTATGTCCTGTAGATGGCGTCCTCCTGTACGAATGCATTCTTGAAATCTGCTGTTGAGATTCCTCATTGACTGCTGCAGCATCTCAGCTGGGATACTGTGAATTTCATCTTGAATTCTAAATGGCGAAATGTTTACTTGCTCAGGGTCACTGTTTTGCAGTGTTGCCACTTGCTTATATCTGGCAATACGCACTTCAAAAATTCCCATGTTTTGGGGGTCACCCTGTAGATATATATATATATATATATATATATATATATATATATATATATATATATATATATATATATGTGTGTGTGTGTGTGTGTGTGTGTGTGTGTGTGTGTTTCTTGATTTAAAATTTCTCGCTCAGTTATATTTATACTTCAGTTCAACACGCACTGAACCAATTTGCAATGTATAGTGCAACAGTTTTAATTTTCCCCCGAAATTGTGAATAATTAAATCGGAAAACCCCTATAAAATGAATGTTTCCCTATTCATTTAACTTTGTCAGAAACAATTTGGAAAATGGAATAATGCAAAATAATTTCTACTTTCAATTTCTATGTTCTGTTCTCATTGGTTGAAAAGTCGTCACGTGTTTAAGGCGTAAACTGTATGTATGCGTGCATTATAATGTGTCAATCAGTGTGCCTACGTGTATGTATGTATCAGATTTTAAAATTTATATTTTTGTTTTCATTGTTTCCGTTGTCGACACCTATATAGCTTATGGCGTCTGTTTGTCTGTGCTTAATTGTGTTACTTTTCCCTACTTGTTCCATAAAGAATCATATGTATGTGGGGTGGGGGTCTAAAGATTGATATCTTAGACTGTAAGATATGATAGCTTAATTGATTCGGTTGTTCGAAAATTCCCTGAAAATTCTATGCCGAGATATAGGTAAAAACATAAACGAAAATGACACGAGATAGAAGATATATGTAGGTGCGTGGGCAAGTGACTGAAGCCGAGATGCGAGATCAGGACCAATAATATTGCTGATTCTTCTTGGGATCTTATCGAGAAGCGCTAAGAAAAAAATAATAGGCGAACCAAACCATATCTATCTATCTATCTATCTATCTATCTATCTATCTATCTATCTATCTCAGTCTCGTTTCTATCTATCTATCTATCTATCTATCTATCTATCTATCTATCTCAGTCTCTTTTCTTTCTTTCTATCTATCTATCTATCTATATATCTATCTATCTATCTATCTATCTATCTATCTATCTATCTATCTATTTCAGTCGCTTTATCTATCTATCTATGTATCTATCTCAGTCGATTATCTATCTATCTATCTATCTATCTATCTATCTATCTATCTATCTATCTATCTCAGTCCCTTATCTATCTATCTATCTATCTCAGTCTCTTTTCTTTCTTTCTATCTATCTATCTATCTATCTATCTATCTATCTATCTATCTATTTCAGTCGCTTTATCTATCTATCTATCTATGTATCTATCTCAGTCGATTATCTATCTATCAATCTATCTCAGTCGATTATCTATCTATCTATCTATCTATCTATCTATCTATCTATCTATCTATCTATCTATCTATCTCAGTCCCTTATCTATCTATCTATCTATCTCAGTCTCTTTTCTTTCTATCTATCTATCTATCTATCTATCTATCTATCTATCTATCTATCTATCTATCTATCTATTTCAGTCGCTTTATCTATCTATCTATCTATCTATGTATCTATCTCAGTCGATTATCTATCTATCAATCTATCTCAGTCGATTATCTATCTATCTATCTATCTATCTATCTATCTATCTATCTCAGTCCCTTATCTATCTATCTATCTATCTATCTATCTATCTCAGTCCCTCACTCTCTCTCTCTCTCTCTCTCTCTCTCTCTCTCTCTCTATCTATCTATCTATCTATCTACCTATCTCTCTATCTATCTTACTATTTACTTATCTATCTCATTCTTATCTATTTTTCTATCTTTTTTAATGACAACCCGAATGAAAAAGGGGCTATTTATCATATAGTCGTTCACCACTATCAAAAAAAGAAAGAGAAATGTAGAAAAAAATGGTGGAATTTTCTAGAATTAAATCATTTCTATTTCTACAGATGGATAAACCGTGTTTGATGTGGAAACATTTTAAAGTAATTTTCCTTCGACAAGGAAATGGAAATTTATGGTAAAAATCAAATTGGCCTCCATTTAATGCCTGGAATTTGACGTTTGCTGATCAAAAATCAATAAAGAGATTTTGTCCAAGATCCAAAGAATATTTTGGCCCTCTACTTGAGACTTTCTGACTGATTCAGTCATTCCATACTTATCGAGTTCAGTCGCTTCCTATTTATTAGACGACATAAGTACTGTCTCAGTCATATATATATATATATATATATATATATATTCCTCAGAACAATATATATACTGTATATTGTTTTGATGAACTTTCCTCTATGGTAAATAGATTTATGGATGTAAGTTCATTACTAGATTGGCGGTTGGGTCTCATTCTTTTTACAATTGAAATGACTAGATATAACCGTAACTTCTATGCTAACAGTTTAATCTCTTGCACTTCCCACCTGTGAACGGTACTTCCGAATTCTTGCTTCCCTGTCAACTTTGATCTTCAAAAAAAAAAAAATTCAATGCAATATCAATCGATAATGTTATTGTATTGTACCAATGCATGCATGGACTATCCCAGCTATAAATAGGAGCAGGTACTGCCTTTTTTGTGAGTGTAGTTTCCAGCAGTCAGCTCTGACAGTCGGACTGAACATTCTTGCTCGTTTGTGTATGTTTTGTATTACAGTTTCTGTTAATATATTTGTTTAACTCATTTCCTCTCGTTGTGACTTTATTTTTGGCCTCAACATGGCCACAACAGTTGCGGACTGTCTTCTTAATTCATGTTCTTTTCTTGTTCACTCTCCTTAATAGTGTTTTGCTTTCCCATATTCTCTCACACTCACTAATCACTCGCGTCTTAATGTCTCCATTGTCTTACTTGGTGTGGAATGATTAAGACACACACACACACACACATATACACACATGGATTATTATTATTATTATTATTATTATTATTATTATTATTATTATTTCTTTTGAATTTTGTTCTATACACATTTCCTTCCGGGTACCAACCAGAGACCTAAGGACAGAAATGAATTCAGGATTGTTTATACTGTTCATTTTGTAAAAAAATAAAAATAAAAATAAAAAGATCGCGCACATTTTACATAAATAAACCTTCTCCTCTTCCTCCTCTTTTTCTTCTTCTTCTTTTTCTTCTTCTTCTTCTTCTTCTTCTTCTTCTTCTTCTTATTATTATTATTATAAAGATTATTTTTAGCAGATACCCATGTTTGAGTAGACGCCCTGTTTTATTTGTGAATTACCTCTACATGCCCGTGTATTAGAGAGACTTAATAAAGAATACATGCTTTATTGCTTTGCTTGTGTCAAAATGATTTAAAAATCACCCTCTTTCTCCTCTCTTCCTCTGTCTCTCTCTTTCTCTCTCTCTCTCTCTGTCTGTCTGTCTGTCTGTCTCTCTCTCTCTCTCTCTCTCTATATATATATATATATATATATATATATATATATATATATATATATATATATACAAATTTAATGAAAAACAGACCACTTTAAGGTACCATTACAATAATTTATTTCACCAAAATCCTTTTAAAAGAACTCCGGATCATCAGGTAACAATTCCAACAATGAAAGGAAAAATGGGATTAGAAATTGATGGGTAGTGTAATTTTTGTAATTTAACAGGGGAGTGGGGTGAGAGTGGCAGTTACAAAGACAAGATAGAGTATAGGGAAGTGTTAATTTCATATCTCTATTAAGCATGCATTATATTGGGGTAGGAGGAGTGAGCGAACCTTGTCCTATATAGATGGTTAACTTAACGGAAATGATATGTAGGAAAGGGAAGGGAAAAAAAAAGAAAGGAGACAGATGACAGTGATACAGATATATCAAATGAGTGTTACGGTAAATAGAGAGGGGGAGGGAAGTGAATCGAAAGAGGCTGTAATTTTGTTTTAACAAAATTATAAAAATAGATTTCGATGCTTGATAGAAATTTAGAATCTATATATATATATATATATATATATATATATATATATATATATATATATATATATTATTATTATTATTACCCTGAATGTTATTTTTTAGTAGATAACCATGTTTGAGAAAACGCCCTGTTTTTTTTTTCTTTTCTTTTTTTTTACTTTTACAGTTTGAATTATCTATCAAGGCCTGCGTACTCGAAAGATTTAATAAAGAAAATGTGTTCTCCGATATCGATAACCTTTGCCCCACCTCTCCATTGCAGTAGAATCTACCGTCTGGTCCAGTGTACTTTAAACCCTTCGGAGACGACATTTTCTTTATTAAGTTTCTGGAGTTCGCAATCCGGAAGATGCAATTCATACTGTTTAAAAAAAAAAGGAAAGGAATTTCCATTCGGATAGCTTCTTCCTAAGCGCTGCTGTTTTGTGGAAAAGACTCCCGAGAGATTGCTTCCAATGTAATTTGAACCTCTACAAGTATAGACTCAACTCGACCATAATCTCTCTAATACATACTCATAATTTACAATTCTTAAGCACACACAAAAGACACTATTCAGTATCGCTCTAACGCGAGAGTCTCTTGGTCCTTCTATTGTGTAAAGAAAATAACAAGTTTAAAGATTAATGGTACTAAATGGTTTTTATGATTATTGTTCAACACTATTTTACTGGACAGTGTTTCTACAATGAAAAACCTGGAAAACAAATAACTAACAGTAATGGATTTTATTCCAGACAAGTAATGAAATTATTCGAAATGTTGACTTGAGTTTAAAGTTTTGTGGTGCATTTTGTGTCAGACAAGAAAAAAAAAATGCCACAATTAAAAAAAAAAAAAAAAAATCATCTTTCCAATTATTTGAAATTTCGGCTTTTCTGATGAAATAACTTCTTGTTTAAATAAATATACTGACGGCAGTGAAAAACAGATTTTAGCTGAACTTAATCGAAAGACGAAATGTGATCTCTAAATGATTGTTTAAATCGGTGGGGAAAAAATTGTATCATGAACCTGATGCCTAAATTAGTCGATAATGTAATTAGTCTGTCCGAAAATCACATTTCTTCTTCTTCTTCTTCTTCTTCCTTTTCTTCTTCTTCCTCCTCCTCTTCCTTCTTCTTCTTCTTCTTCTTCTTTTTCTTCTTCTTCCTCCACCTCTTCCTTCTTCTTCTTCTTCTTCTTCTTCTTCTTCTTCTTCTTCTTCTTCTTCTTCTTCCACCTCCTCCTCTTCCTTGTTCTTCTTCTCCTTGTTCTTTTTCTTCTTCCTCTTCTTCCTCTTCTTCCTCCTCTTCCTTCTTCTTCTTCTTCTTCTTCTTCCATCTCCTCCTCTTCCTTGTTCTTCTTCTCCTTGTTCTTACTCTTCTTCCTCCTCTTCTTCTTCTTCTTCTTCCACCTCCTCCTCTTCCTTGTTCTTCTTCTCCTTGTTCTTTTTCTTCTTCCTCTTCTTCCTCCTCTTTCTTCTTCTTCTTCTTCTTCTTCTTCTTTGTTCTTCTTCTCCGTCTTCTTTTTCTTCTTCCTCTTCTTCCTCCTCTTCCTTCTTCTTCTTCTTCTTGTCATCCCCTTACAGTTTCTGTCCTTTGTAGCTTTTAATGAATTTTGTCTTTTCCTCGTCAACCCTGTTCTGTCACCCAATTACATAAGCTCGATTTTACCCTCTTTTCCTCTGTCTTATCGTCAATATGTCCTGTGCGTGTCAAATTTGCCACGCCCTCTTTCCTCATTATATAACCTAAAAATGTTAACTGCCTCTTTCTGATGTTAAATATAAGGGTCTATTTTGTTTCCATTTTTTTTAAACTGGAGGGGAAGGGGCAGAGATTCGGACGTTCTTCAGTCCATGGTATTCTCATTATCCTTCTGTAGACCCACATTTCTGGTGCTACAAGTCTTTTCTTCATCCATGACGAGATTATCCAGCATTCACTGCCATATAAGAGGACTGATATTACATAACAGTTCAGTAATCCTTTATTTGTTTCTAACTAAATTTTCCTGATTCTTATTACTTTGCTTAGCTTCTGGAAGGCATCGTTTGCTATCCCAATGCGCCTGGGTTAAATAGTGGGGTCTAGTGGCCTCTCTAAATCAGTTTAGCAAAACGGAGAAGGCACTGGGAAAACACATCACAAACTTTTTTTTTTTTTTTTGCACGAAAACGTGGCACTTCATAAAATTTAACCTCAAGGAATTACTTCGCTTAACTTTTAGAAGGCTTCTTTCACTATCCCAATGCATATTCGGATTTCGGTGTCACCCTATCTGTACCCTGGTAAAAATACTTTTTTTCATTTGCATTGTTCCATCAGACCATCATCATGTCTCTCTACAACGTCCTGTACTTTGTAGTGTCGAGAAGTAGATATAGGTGTGAAAAATTGGTAAACATTTTAGACACCGTCTGTATGCCTTTATGCATAAAAGAGATATCTCTCTGTCTTTTCTACAATTTTTTTTTATGGCAACTGCTCTGACAAGCTTTTTAACCTGTTGGCCGTACTACTTGAGTTTAAACGTCTACTTGATTGGCGGCCTGAAAGTCCCACCCTTTTAATGTTGAAATAGTTAAATGTAACCGACCCTCCTACTCCAACAGTTTTTTTCTCGCACTTCCTGCCTGTGAAACTCCTTTCCGTTTCCTTGCTTCTAAAACATCTTCAAAAATTTAAATGCGACGTCAATCGCCATTTTCTTAAACCCCATTCAGCTTTTTTTTGTCCCTCCTATGCCCAGTTTTTTCTCTCACTTTCACTCTAGGTCACCCCCTGCGTACAAGTGGCATTCCCGCTTTGTTTGGGTTTGAAGAGATTAAAGAAAAATGCGTGTTCAAAATGATAGCCCTTCTGAAACAGACGCTGGCGACAAAAGAATTCTATAAAGTTACATTCGGGATTCAGGCAAGTTTTCTTTCAATGTTTGCTTTTATCTCGTCAGCAAACAAAAAATGGTTATTGGTTTGTTCATTCTGATTTAAACGGTTCTCTAACGCGTGTAACGAATTGGTAATTTGTGCATTTCACTGAAACTCCTGCCTAAAGCATCCTGGGTCGTCTGTTTCTATAAAACTCCTCCATTATGTGGAGAAAATGTTCCCGATAACAAACAAACAAACAGAGACTGATCAGGTCGAGTAAAAAAAAAAGAAATAGATGTTTCCCGTTTCTTAATATTTTGCTTAGCTTTAGGGGGGGCATTTTTCGCTATCCCAATGCGGCTTTAAATCGTAGTGTCGAATTTTTCATCCTTTTGTTAAAACACTTTATAGAACAACATTTCTGTTGCCTAAGGTCTCTTCTTCCTCTGTGAGGATACTATCCAGCATTCACCGCCATACTGAAGAACTGATATTACATAACACTTCAGGAATTCTTTTTTTCTAACGAGGTTTTCCTATGTCTTAATACTTTGCTTAGATTTTGGAAAGCATCTTTCGCTATCACAATATGCCTTTTACTTATTCCGATGTTTCATTTCCCGTCCTCTGTTAAAACACTTCCCGGATATTTAAATTATACTCGGTTGATTTTGGAATCTCCAATTTGTAATTTGAATATATGACTTCCTAGTCTGAAATCGGCAGCCAGGGCGGAGGCTTCTCCTGATGGATACCACGATCATGTGACTGTGACCAAAATGTGTATTCAAATTAGAGGACATTGGCTGAGGCTTGACCGGCATAAACATAGGTCCCGCTTGGTCTACTTACCCAAGACACACTATGCATGAACGATTACCTCTCCGGCTTTCAACCCAGATAATGCGGAGAACTGCTCATCGAACGTATGACTACACCTTGTCATGGAACAGATGATTATTGTTGAATAATATTTATGTACTAACAATTGTCTATATGAAAATGTTGCCTTTTGCTACTTCTTTGCAATTACGATTTATGAATGACATGTATAATTCGTGGCCACTCAAGATTAATGTTTAGCACGACGACTAATATAGTACTAACATTGAGTCCACTAAGTGAATTTAGTACAATAACGAGACTGAAGAAGAAGAAAACAAACTGTAAACATTTATACAGAGAATGATATTCATAAACATGTATTAGAACTTTCTGGAAAAACGCTACTTAGAGATTAGTTTTGAGTCTCACTCTGTCAATTGAAAGGCTTCTATAAATATGTACAGGGTGTGATGGGTGAATTGACGCCATTTTATATTTTTCATTTAGCGCATGCGCTTTGTTTATTTTTGATGTTATCTGTGGTATAGCAGAATCAGTTGGGCAGCATCTGTGAGAAAAAGAGCAATTGTCTTTTGCTATTTTTTGCCTTAAGCAATTACGATTTATGAATGATCTCTATGGTTCTCGGGCACCCAAACTGAATGTTTAGGGCGACGACAAATATATTACTTTAGTGATTAGCTACTTCAATAATTAAATGTGTAAGGTTTCTTACTGGAGTATTTTCTTGTACATGAAATAATGGTGGAGAAGGGGAATACATGCACAAAATAACATACCAATTGATTTGCAATGCAAGAACAACATTTATTAGACAAATTAACAAAAGTAAAGTTTAAAACAAGAGTTTCTTTTGTTAGACGTAAATTGTATAAACAATGAAATTTTCATTAATATGTTATCGTAGGAACTTATGTTTGTGTGTAGTGTTCACAGCCCTTTTAGCTTCAGCATGAAAAGTTCATAAAAACAGTTTGAAAGAGAAAAAACCCGGAAGAGACAGGGCTACTTTAGGGTTCACATATTTTTATATTCGTGAGCTGCTGATGATATTAATTTTATTTTAGGTCCACTGTTGCCACGCTTAAGGTCACTGCAAAGTATTTGAAAGAATAACATTAAATGATTAATGCAGTGTTTATTAGATAAAATTACAAAAAGTAATGAACTCCCTATTGACTTTAGCAACCCATACAGGAAAATACGAAGACATTTTTGAGCCCCGTTCAATACACTACGTCTTTTTTAGAAAAACTAACATTTTCTTTTTTAGCATAAAAGCATTTTTATTGTGGTTACAAGTTCAGTGATTAGATGCTTCAATAATTAATTGTATAAGGTTTCTTACGGGAGCATTTTGCAGTACATGAAATAATGGCGGTGAAAAAGACTACATGCATAAAATAACAGACCAACTGATTTGCAATGCAAGATAATATTGATTAAAGAAAATCAACAAAAAGAAAGTTTAAAACAAGAATTTCTTTTGCTAGACGTAAATTGTATATACAATGAAACGTTCACGTTTTATGTTAGTGAGAACTTTGTGTGTGTTTTAGGTGAATCGTTCACAGCCATTTTGTAGTATCTGTCTATATTTCTGAGATGAGGTATTATGTACACTATTTACATTGTTCGGACTATCGTCGTCATCTTTGTTACCATACACGTTTCGGCCGTTGTACGCTCCGGCCTTCTTCAGGTGGTTAGAATGTCGAACTGAACCCTTTATTACGCTCACTGGGGTAGACAGTTCTAGTTACACGTGCCATTGATGTCAGTTATCAATTATCTCCTGTTAATTCACCTCTATAAGTTCGCCACTGCCTTAACCAGGTATTGAATTCACACTCTTTGGGTCCTGTCACTGGATCTAACCGACGCCTTTTTCTACTGTGCCATGTGTCCTTGAGGGCATCTATGTGAATTTCTGAGTATTGTAAATCTAATGTTTCAGCATCATTTTTCTACCAGTGCTCATTTTGCAATTTTTGCAGTTATCATTGCATTTTCTTTTTTTTACCAGCGCTCATATAGCAATTTTTGTTGTTGTTATTATTATTGCTTTTCTCTGGCCCTCTTTATTACTGGTTCCCATATTGTATTTATTTCTAGGCTTGGTCGGCTCAGGAGATTTTTGTGGCCTAGCATATGTGCTGATTCCTTAAGTTTACGAATTTTCCAATGATGTTCTTTGTCTATGATATCAACCTGACCTCACAGAGGGCAGTGATTTCCCTTTTCTCTCCATATGTGGTCAGCAACGCCTGATTTTTCCACTTCCCCTCGTTTTATAGCTTTTTGGTGTCCTTAAAGCCTTACACTAAGAGGGCGGCCTGTCTCCCCTTTATATTGCTTTCCGCAGCTACACAGGATGGCGTACAGACAGTCTTTAGCCATATTCTCCTCTATGGGTGGGGGTCTTACTCGTGAGAGGTATCTACGAAGTGTCATGCCACTTTGAAGGTAGTCTTGATGTCATATGGGCCACAGATCCTTTCTATTTTCTCCGATAACCATGTACATGGCAGCAGACCCAATGAACTCTGCTTGCTGCTATAATAAGGGAGGAAGTGAATTCCAGTTATCTGCAAAATTGGCACAGTATTCCCAGTGAACCCCCCTTATATCCTGATAGTGAAATAATTACGGCAACTACTAAGACCAAAAAAAGGTGAACCCAAAAACTACTATTCTCCTTTTAGAGTTAATTGCATTATTTGTTGTTTTTTTTCTGGACAAAAAGAAGCATTATTCTTTTTGTACCAATTTCTTCCTTATATACATCTACGTAAATTTTTCTTGCGACTCAGATCAACTTGTTCATATTTGATTTTTTTTCTGCTTGACTCGATTCTTGCCCCAACAAACATACTGGTAGACCAGCTGAAACTTCTGGGATCTACGATTTGTTAACTGCTCTCCAGGATCCAAAAAATTACACTGTGGCATCGAATTGACATTGGGAACCGGAGACTTGGATTGAACCTGTAATACTGGACCAGGAGGACAACACTCAGAAAACAGTCTGCCTGCCTAACTAGCGTCATTCATTATTACTCACAAGCCAAATTACCCTTATTTTTACTTTCATCTTCATTTTTAGCATTTATTTCTTTATCAGGCTACATGAAGACAATGATTCATCACATAAGAGATTAGAATAAATACACATTCAATGTCAAAGTGTTTTCTAATACTGGACAAACGGTAAACGTGGAAATGTTTTCTAACATTGGATGAATAGCAAATTAGTATAAGGCAGCTAAGAAAATAAGAGAAAGTTACCATAATTTAAGATTTTTTTTTCAGCTAAGCAGAACCTTTGACAAAAATCACTCCATAGATAACTGGAGTTATAGTAACCAATAAATCAAGAAAAGTTCAAGTGACTTATCGAATAGAGCGACATTTGCTCTATCATATAAGTCACTTGAACTTTCCTTGATTTATTGAATCAGTATACACACACACACACACACACAATTATATATATATATATATATATATATATATATAATTGAGTACTTGAGCAGCAATCAGAGTTTTATACAAGTTTCGACTGACAAGTCACTGCAATTATGTTTTATATTTGTGTTCGTACAATTGTTTCTCTTTTCTCAACACAAAGTGTGTAAAAAATACCAAAAAGTTCTGCATATCGAACGCATTCGGCAAAAATTTTAGCCATTATCATGGGTTTTTTTTTTTTCACTGCATATATATTTTGTAAGTACGTGTCTGGTGTTATAGGAATGTTTTTATTTAATATATATATATATATATATATATATATATATATATATATATATATATATATAATTTTATCAGTAGTTTTGTTAGTAGTTCTACTATTCTCGATTCTCACCTGTCGAAGTGCAGTTGAAATGCACTGAAACCAAGTTGCATCTTTGTAGTGAGTAAAATGGTTTTTGTCTATATGATAAAATTATAATAAATGAATAATTGTCGTTCTACTATAGATATCGAGCCCTCTTATGGATTAATGCTGTGAACGTTGGAATTTTATATATTACTTTCGTTCTCATCGCATCAGATATATATATATATATATATATATATATATATATATATATATATATATATATATATATATATATATGCTTCTAGACACGTATATATATATATATATATTTCATAGGATAATTTTTGTAATTATTCCAAAACAACAAGGGATAAATTTAAAACCTCTCAAGTAGTTATGACGGAGCGTGTGTATTTAAACATCACTATCACAACGGATGCATATCACAGTTACAATAAGTTCCTACTTGGAGTTTAACCCTGAAGATGATCTTAGAAAAGACTGAAAGCACTTGAATTAAAAGTTCCATGATAAATTTCATCTCAACATCATGAAACTGATTAGGCAACTGGATGGGATCAGTATAAAAAATAAATCGGCACAATATGTCTATATTATCCAATGAAACATATATATATATATATATATATATATATATATATATATATATATATATATATATATATGTGTGTGTGTGTGTGTGTGTGTGTGTGTGTGTGTGTGCAAGTGCAAATATGATACCAATAATTTGGCTTGAAGATGAAACAGAGCTTGATATCTTTAAATAAAAATATAATTCTAATAATTATATTTAAGTTTTCAGCTCTTTTTTTTTGCCTTTATTGCCTTGTCTGGGATTAAATGAGTAAAAATGACATTATATGCTACGTTTGGTAAGTCTTCTTAGAAATATTAAATTTCGCTATATAAATGTTTTATGATATAATAGCGTTTATATTTTTTTTTGTCATATTTCCACGCAGTCGTTATAATCTTAGTGGCTTTTTTGCCTTGTTTGGGATTGAATGTTTAAAAATGACATTATATGCTGCGTTTGGTAAGCATTCGTAGAAATATTAATATTTAGCTATATAAATGTTTTATGATATAATAGTGTTTTTTGTCATATTCTCATAGAGTCATTAACGCATAGCGTCTTAGTGGATATTATTACCTTGTTTGAGATTAAATGATTAACAATGACATTATATGCTGCGTGTGGTAAGCCTTCTTGGAAATATTAATATTCTGGTATATAAATGTTTCATGATATAATCTTTTTCTTTCATATTCACTCACAGCCGTTAAACTATAGCGTCTTAGTGGCTTTATTACATTGTTTGGGGTGAAATGATTAAAAATGACATTATATGCTGCGTTTAGGAAGGTTTACTTAGTAGAAATATTAATACTTCGCTATATAAATGTATGATGATATAAATGCTTTACGCTTCATGTTCGGTGTTGAGCAATTCAGTTCTTGTCAGCGTCTGTCAGAAAACAAACCTATTATAATGCGCCATCATTGCTGCCGATTTCCTCAATACAAAACTGATTTCCACACTCTGTGATCTCCATTGATACGATTGAACTAAGTAAATTTGTTCGATAAGATTCGGAAATCTGGTGCGAATACACACACGCACGCACGCACACGCACACACACAAAACACACATACATACATATATATACATATATATATATATATATAACATATCTTCATCTTTTTGATTTTTCTTTGTTTGCTTATTCTTTTTCTTTTGTCAAGATTTTTTATTTCTTTTTATATATATTTTTGTTTTTTCTATCGTTTTTCCTTCTTCTTCTTCTTCTTCTTCTTCTTCTTCTTCTTCTTCTTCTTCTGTCCTGTTAATTCTTTCTTTCTTCGTCTTTATTTTTTGTTATTTTCCTTCTCATTTTTCCTTCTTCAGTCTTTTCCTGTTCACACATTTTATTGCTTTTTCCTTTTGCCTTTTCTTCCCACATTCTTTTTTGTCTTAATTCTTCATTTATCTCTTTCCATTCCCTTGTTCTTGTTCTTGTTCTTCTTGTTGTTCGTCTTCTTTCTTCTTCTTCTTCTTCTTCTTCTTCTTCTTCTTCTTCTTCTTGCTTCTGTTTTCATCCATTTTCATGTTTTTTCTTCACGCCATCTTTTTAAAAATTTCATTCTTCTTGCTTGTTAATTCTTCTTCTTCTTCTTCTTCTTCTTCTTCTTCGTCTTCTTCTTGCTTCTGTTTTCATCCATTTTCATGTTTTTTCTTCACGCCATCTTTTTAAAAATTTCATTCTTCTTGTTTGTTAATTCTTCTTCTTCTTCTTCTTCGTCTTCTTCTTCTTCTTCTTCTGCGTCTTCTTCTTCTTCTTCGTTTTCTTCTTGCTTCTGTTTTCATCCATTTTCATGTTTTTTTTTCTTCACGCCATTTTTTAAAAATTTCAATCTTCTTCTTGCTTGTTAATTCTTCCTCTTCATCTTCTTCTATTTTTCTTTCTTCTTGCTCTTTCTTTTCCTTTGATTTCATACTTTATATAGTTTTGTATTTTCATTTTCGATTATTCTTCCTTCTTCATCATTCTTCTTCCTTTTTCATTTTTTTCCTACTTTTTCTTTCTCTTTTTCTCCTTTTTCATAGTGTTTCCTTTCTTGCTTATTCTATCTTGTTATTTCGTTATGTTTTTTTTTCTTGTTTATCTGCTTCTCCTTCTTCTCTTTCTTTGATATTTCCTTTTTCATCTAGTTCATGTTGCTTTATTAATTTTTTTTTCGTCGTTTATTTTCTTTCATCTTCTTCCAGTTCTCTCTTCCTGTTCTGCAATTCCTTCTCTTTTTCTTTTCTTCTTTTCATCATTGCCATCCTGCTTTCTTCTTCTTTTTTTCTTTTCTTTCATCGCCATTTTGCCATCTTTTCTTTTTCTTCCTTCTCTTTTTTTTTTCTTTCATCGCCATCTTTCTTTTTCTTTTCTTCCTTCCCTTTTTCTTTTTTTTCATCGCCATCTTGCTTTTTTTTCTTCCTTTCTTTTCTTTTTCTTTTTTTTCTTTTCTTTTCTTTCTTCCTTCTTCCTTCTCTTTTCTTTTCTTTCTTCCCCATCCTGCTTTCTTCCTTCTCTTTTTCTTTTCTTTCTTCCCCATCCTGCTTTCTTCCTTCTCTTTTCTTTTTTCATCGCCATTTCTTCCTTCTCTTTTTATTTTTTCTTTTCTTCTTCTCTTTTTTTCTTTTTTTTCTTTTCCCCATCCTGCTTTTTTTCTTCCTTCTCTTTTTTTTCTTTCTTTCATCCCATCCTGCTTTTTCTTCCTTCTCTTTTCTTTTCTTTTCTTCCCATCCTGCTTTCTTCCTTCTCTTTTTTCTTTTTTCTTTCATCGCCATCTGGCTTTCTTCCTTCTCTTTTTTTTCTTTCTTTCTTCCTTCCTTTTTCTTTTCTTTCTTCCTTCTTTCTTTTTCTTTTCTTTTCTTTCATCCCATCCTGCTTTCTTCCTTCTCTTTTCTTTTTTCTTTCTTCCCATCCTGCTTCCTTCTCTTCCTTCTCTTTCTTTTTTTTTTTTCTTCCATCCTCTTCTTTCTTCCTTCTTTTTTTTCTTTTTCTTTTCTTCTTCCCATCCTGCTTTCTTCCTTCTCTTTTTTTTTTTCTTCTTTCTTCTTTCTTTCTTCTCTTTTTTCTTTTTCTTTTTCATCCTGCTTTTTCTTCTTTTTCTTTTCTTTCTTCCCCATCTTGCTTTCTTCCTTTCTTTCTTTTCTTTCTTCCCCATCCTGCTTTCTTCCTTCTCTTTTCTTTTCTTTCATCGCCATCCTGCTTTCCTTCTTTTTTCTTTTCTTTCTTCCCCATCCTGCTTTTCTTCCTTCTCTTTTTTCTTTTCTTTCTTCGCCATCCTGCTTTTCTTCCTTCTCTTTTTTTTCTTCTTTTCTTTCTTTTTCTTTCTTTTTCTTTTTCTTTCATCCTCCTTCTTTTTCCTTCTCTTTTTCTTTTCTTTCTTCCCCATCCTGCTTTCTTCCTTCTCTTTTTCTTTTCTTTCTTCCCATCCTGTTTTTTCCTTTTCTTTCCTCTTTCATCCATCCTGCTTTCTTCCTTCTCTTTTTCTTTTCTTTCTTCCCCATCCTGCTTTCTTCCTTCTCTTTTTCTTTTTTTCTTTCATCCTGCTTTTTCCATCTTTTTCTTTCTTTTCTTTCTTCTCTTTTCTTTTCTTTTCATCCCCATCTTTTCCTTTTCTTTTTTTCTTTCTTCCCATCCTGCTTTTTCTTCCTTCTCTTTTTCTTTTCTTCCCTTCTCTTTTCTTTCTTTCTTCATCCTCTTTTCTTTTTTTCTTTTTCTTTCTTCCCCATCCTGCTTTCTTCCTTCCTTTTTTTCTTCGCCATTTTTCTTTCTTCATTTCATCTTTTCTTTTTTTTTTTCCTTTTTCTTTTTCTTTTCTTTCTTCCCCATCCTGCTTTCTTCCTTCTCTTTTTCTTTTCTTTCTTCCCCATCCTGCTTTCTTCCTTCTCTTTTTCTTTTCTTTCTTCCCCATCCTGCTTTCTTCCTTCTCTTTTTCTTTTCTTTCTTCCCCATCTTGTCTTTCTTTCTTCCTTCTCTTTTTTTCTTTTTTCTTTTCTTCCCTTCTCTTTTCTTTTCTTTTCATCGCCATCTTCTTTTTCTTTTTTCTTTTCTTTCTTTTCTTCTTCTTTTCTTTTCTTTTTCTTTTCTTCTTCTTTTTCTCTTTTTTTTCTTTCTTCCCCATCCTGCTTTCTTCCTTCTCTTTTCTTTTCTTTCATCGCCATCCTGCTTTCTTCCTTCTCTTTTTCTTTTTCTTTCTTCCCCATCCTGCTTTCTTCCTTCTTTCTTCTTTTCTTTTCTCTTTTTTTTTTTCCCATCCTGCTTTCTTCCTTCTCTTTTTTCTTTCTTTCTTCCCCATCCTGCTTTTTCTTCTTTTCCTTTTCTCTTTTTTTCTTTTTTTTCTTTCCCCATCCTGCTTTTTCTTCCTTTTCTCTTTTCTTTTCTTTCATCTTCTCTTTTCATCTTTTTTTTCTTTCTTTTTCTTTTTTTTTTTCTTTCCCCATCCTGCTTTCTTCCTTTCTTTTTTTCTTTTCTTTCTCTTTTCTTTTCTTTTCTTCATTCTTTTTCCTTCTCTTTTTCTTTTTCTTTCTTCCCATCCTGCTTTCTTCCTTCTCTTTTTTTTTTTCTTTTCATCTTCCCATCCTTTTCTTTTCCTTCTTTTTCTTTTTTTCTTCGCCATTCTTTTTCTTCCTTCTCTTTTCTTTTTCTTTCTTCCCATCCTGCTTTTCTTCCTTCTTTTTTTTCTTTTCCTTTTCTTCCCATCCTGCTTTCTTTCTTGTCTTTTCTTTTCTTTTCTTCGCCATCCTGCTTTTCTTCCTTCTCTTTTTCTTTTCTTTCTTCCCCATCCTGCTTTCTTTCTTCTTTCTTTTCTTTTCTTTCATCGCCTTCTCCTGCTTTCTTCCTTCTCTTCCCTTCTTTTTTCTTTTCTTTCTTCCCCATCCTGCTTTCTTCCTTCTCTTTTTCTTTTCTTTCTTTCTTCCATCTTTTCTTTCTTCATTCTCTTTTTTTTTTTCTTTCATCGCCATCCTGTTTTCTTCCTTCTCTTTTTCTTTTCTTTCATCACCATCCTGCTTTCTTCCTTCTCTTTTTCTTTTCTTTCATCGCCATCCTGCTTTCTTCCTTCTCTTTTTCTTTTCTTTCTTCCCCATCCTGCTTTCTTCCTTCTCTTTTTCTTTTCTTTCTTCCCCATCCTGCTTTCTTCCTCTTTTTCTTTTCTTTCTTCGCCATCCTGCTTTCTTCCTTCTCTTTCTTTTCTTTCCCCATCCTGCTTTCTTCCTTCTTTTTTTTCTTTTCTTTCAGCCCATCCTTTTGCTTTTCTTCCTTTCTTTTTCTTTTTATTTCTTTCTTCCCCCATCCTGCTTTCTTCCTTCTCTTTTTCTTTTCTTTTTCCCCATCCTTCTTTTCTTTCTTCATTCTCTTTTTTCTTTTCTTTTCTTTCCCATCCTGCTTTCTTCCTTCTCTTTTCTTTTCTTTCTTCCCATCCTGCTTTCTTCCTTCTCTTTTTCTTTTCTTTCTTTCGCCATCCTTCTTTTCTTTCTTTCTTTCTTCCTTCTCTTTTCTTTTCTTTCTTCCCATCCTGCTTTTCTTCCTTCTCTTTTCTTTTCTTTCTTCCCCATCCTGCTTTCTTCCTTCTCTTTTTCTTTTCTTTCATCGCCATCCTGCTTTCTTCCTTCTCTTTTTCTTTTCTTTCATCGCCATCTTGCTTTCTTCCTTCTCTTTTTCTTTTCTTTCATCGCCATCTTGCTTTCTTCCTTCTCTTTTTCTTTTCTTTCTTCGCCATCCTGCTTTCTTCCTTCTCTTTTTCTTTTCTTTTATCGCCATCTTGCTTTCTTCCTTCTCTTTTTCTTTTCTTTCATCGCCATCCTGCTTTCTTCCTTCTCTTTTTCTTTTCTTTCTTCCCCATCCTGCTTTCTTCCTTCTCTTTTTCTTTTCTTTCATCGCCATCCTGCTTTCTTCCTTCTCTTTTTCTTTTCTTTCTTCCCCATCCTGCTTTCTTCCTTCTCTTTTTCTTTTCTTTCATCGCCATCTTGCTTTCTTCCTTCTCTTTTTCTTTTCTTTCATCGCCATCCTGCTTTCTTCCTTCTCTTTTTCTTTTCTTTCATCGCCATCTTGCTTTCTTCCTTCTCTTTTTCTTTTCTTTCTTCCCCATCCTGCTTTCTTCCTTCTCTTTTTCTTTTCTTTCTTCCCCATCCTGCTTTCTTCCTTCTCTTTTTCTTTTCTTTTTCTTCTTCTTTTTTCCTTCTTTTTCCTTCTTTCTTTTTCTTTTCTTTCTTCTTCCCTTCTCTTTTCTTTTCTTTCTTCCTTCTCTTTTCTTTTCTTTTTCTTCCCCATCCTGCTTTCTTCCTTTCTTTTTTTTTTTCTTTTGCTTTCTTCCCCATCCTGCTTTTTTTCTTCTTCTTTTTTTTCTTTTTTTCTTCGCCATCCTGCTTTCTTCCTTCTCTTTTCTTTTTCTTTTCTTCCCCATCCTTCTTTCTTCCCATCCTCTTTTTCTTTTCTTTCATCCCCATCCTGCTTTTTCCTTTTTTTCTTCTTTTTCTTTCTTTTTCATCTTTTTCTTTTCTTTCTTCCCCTTCTCTTTTCTTTTCTTTTCTTTTCGCCATCCTGCTTTCTTCCTTCTCTTTTTTTTTCTTTCTTCCCCATCCTTCTTTTCTTCCTTCTCTTTTCTTTTTTTTCTTTTTCTTTTTCTTTTTCTTTTCTTTCATCGCCATCCTTCTCTTTTCTTCCTTCTCTTTTTTTTTTTTTTTTTCATCCCATCTTGCTTTCTTCCTTCTCTTTTCTTTTTTTCTTTCATCCTGCTTTCTTCCTTCTCTTTTTTTTCTTCTCGCCATCCCTTTCTTCCTTCTTTTTTTTTTTTTCTTTTTCTTTCTTCCCCATCCTGCTTTCTTCCTTCTCTTTTCTTTTTTTCTTTTCTTTCTTCTCTTTTCTTTTTTTTTCATCCCTTCTCTTTTTCTTTTATTTTTCATCCTTTCTTCTCTTTTCTTTTCTTTTCTTTCTTCCCCATCCTGCTTTCTTCCTTCTCTTTTTCTTTTCTTTCTTCCCCATCCTGCTTTCTTCCTTCTCTTTTTCTTTTCTTTCATCGCCATCCTGCTTTCTTCCTTCTCTTTTTCTTTTCTTTCTTCCCCATCCTGCTTTCTTCCTTCTCTTTTTCTTTTCTTTCATCGCCATCTTGCTTTTCTTCATTCTCTTTTCTTTTCTTTCTTCCCCATCCTGTTTTCTTCCTTCTTTTTTCTTTTTCTTTTTCTTTTCATCACCATCCTGCTTTCTTCCTTCTCTTTTTCTTTTCTTTCATCGCCATCCTGCTTTCTTCCTTTTCTTTCTTTTTCTTTTCTTTCTTCCCATCCTTTTCTTTTTCTTCCTTCTCTTTTTCTTTTTTCTTCATCCCATCCTGCTTTCTTCCTTCTTTCTTCATCTTGCTTTCTTTTTCTTTTCTTTCTTTTCCCATCCTGCTTTTTTCTTCCTTCTCTTTTCTTTTCTTTCTTCCCCATCCTGCTTTCTTCCTTCTCTTTTCTTTTTTTTTTCATCCTCTTCCATCTTTTTCTTTTTCTTTTCATCTTTTTTTCCTTCTTTTTCTTTTCTTTCTTCGCCATCCTCTTTTTTCTTCTTCTTTTTCTTTTCTTTCTTTTTTTCTTCCTTCTTCTTTTTCTTTTCTTTCTTCCCCATCCTTTTCTTTTTCTTTTTTTCTTTTTTTCTTCGCCATCTTTTCTTTCTTCCTTCTCTTTTCTTTTTCTTTTCTTCCCCATCCTGCTTTCTTCCTTCTCTTTTTCTTTTCTTTCATCGCCATCTTGCTTTCTTCCTTCTCTTTTTCTTTTCTTTCATCGCCATCCTGCTTTCTTCCTTCTCTTTTCTTCCTTCTCTCTTTTCTTTTCTTTCATCCCATCCTGCTTTCTTCCTTCTCTTTTTTTTCTTTTCTTTCATCGCCATCCCTCTTTCTTTTCCTTCTCTTTTCTTTTTCTTTCATCGCCATCCTGCTTTCTTCCTTCTTTCTTTTTCTTCTTTTTCCTTTCATCGCCATCTTGCTTTCTTCCTTCTCTTTTTCTTTTCTTTCATCGCCATCCTGCTTTCTTCCTTCTCTTTTTCTTTTCTTTCTTCCCCATCCTGCTTTCTTCCTTCTCTTTTTCTTTTCTTTCATCGCCATCCTGCTTTCTTCCTTCTCTTTTTCTTTTCTTCCATCGCCATCCTGCTTTCTTTCTTGTGTTTTTTTTTTTTCGCCATCTTGTTTTCTTCCTTCTCTTTTCTTTTCTTCTTTCTTTCTTTTTTTTCCTTTCTGCTTCATTTTATCTTTTCTTTTCTTTTTTTTTTTTGTTTATTCTTCTTTTTTTTTTTTGTACTTTTTAAAATGTCTCTTTTTTTGCGTTCTTTCCATTTCTGCAATGATTTTCGGACATGCTTTCACCATTATATTGATATAGTTTTTTCTCATTCATCTTTCACTTTTTCCAGATCCTTTTCATCACATTTTATTCCTCCCTTACTTTTCTTTTTTCTTGTTTTCTTATTATTTTCTTCTTAACATCAATCGCTTCCGTTAATTGTAAGTATATACATATATATTCAGAGAGAGCATATTTAATATTGTATTGCCTATCTTCATCACAATCATCTTAAAACATATTTCTCGAAATGAGAATATTTTTTTTTACATATATATATGCCATCACACATACCTACATATACATTTATTTTCATCGCCATCATATATACATTATACCCATATATATATATATATATATAGCACAAATATATGCATATTGCACACATACATATGTAGATGGTTTACCTATACACACACACACATATATATATATTTGTATATAAATTTACTTTTCATATATATCGACAGCCATATCCTGCTTTCATCACATACATACATACATAACACACATAAAATATGCATATCATCGCCATCCTCTTTCAATGTATATTTAAATTTTTCTTTTCATCGCCATATATATATATATATATATATATATATATCCCCCATAAATATCTTCCTTTTAGATATTTATTTAATCGCCATCCTATATTTATCCTTATATATATATATATTTCTTCCATCGCCATCAAAAATAAAGTTCTTTATATTTTTATTTATATATATATTTTTATATATTTATTTATATATATATATGCCATATATGCATACATCATTTTTATCATTTTTATCGCCATCATAAATATATTTTATATATTTATTTATATATCGCCAATACGCATACTGCAATCTTTTTATCTTTCACACATATATTGATATCTTTTTCTCATTCACGTATTTAAATAGCACATATATCCTTTTATCACATATATATATGTAAACATATAGCACTCATACATATTTTAAATGTACACATGTGCATATATGCATATTGCACTCTAAACACACACACACACACACACACATATATATATATATATATATATATATATATATATATATATATATATATATATATATATATATACAATCCGATTTAACAATGTTTTATCTTTAATCTAATATCGACGATAGAAAAAGCATTTGTTGATTTGATTTCATTCTTGAGTTATATCGCCAGTTTTCAGTTCTCTTGAATTAATTCCCTTCGATGAGACGCACCTGCTCGTTCCGAAATACATATTCATTTTTTTTTTTTTAGTTTGCGCATATTCGAAAGGTTTAGGAGGTCTTCAACGATTTCTGACAGATCTAGACACAAATTTTAAACAGCATCATTCATTAAACGAAGGAAATTTTGCCAAAATCATGTTACATTTGCTTGCGTGAGTCGACAAAAAAAAAGATCGAAGAAAAAACAAAACGAAACAAAACAAACAAAAAAAAAAGCTCGTATCTTTATTTATTTATTTTTTTTTTTTTTTTTTTTTGACAATCTAGCAGATTGTAAATTTGTTGAATTCAGTCTCTTCGTCGCTTGTAACTGATAAATAATAAATTTAAAAATACACTTGTTGAATTCGATCGCTTTGTCGCATATAGACTTTGACGTGGCGCGGTGGAGTAATAAATAGCGGCTAGGATTGAGGTGTCGGAGAGTTCGATTTCCAGTCGGATACATTAAATTCACTTACGTGCTAATACCCTTGGAAAATGTATGAAACCTCTTCTTATATATATATATATATATATATATATATATATATATATATATATATATTGCATGTTTTCATTAAAAACGACAGACAAAAGTACTACGGTTAAGCTTTTTATATAATTTTTCTTGTGTTCTAAAAAGAGCTTTCTTTTCTGGACAAAAGACGTGTAAGTACCGTCCAAATGTTTTATATTTCCGAGCGCTTTCGGCTATACCTTTAGCCATTATCAAGGATGATTCGATTTCCAGCTTAATTAAGTGTGTGCATTCTGTGTATGTATTAGTGTGTGGTAGGGATGTTTTTAATTTCCAAACCTGATTGCTTTTATTGTGGCTTTGTTCGTAGTTAATATTGTTAAGAGTTGGCTTTTTCTTTTTTATTATTAAAGCTTCCATTATTTTTAATCTTTTTTACAGATAGATGCTGTTAATATATTTGTGTTTTCTACTAGTATGTTTCTAATGGAGTCTGGTAAGTTTGTGTGTGTGCTTAAATGGGTTCTAATGGAGCTGTGATCAGATAGGTGTAACGTAAGACGTCTGGATAAGCATGTGGTTGATACATGTTTCATTAAATAATATAGACGTGTTGTCTATTTATTTTATGCAAATTCTTTTCATATCGTCTGATAAGCTTAATATCATTAAACTAAGAAAGAAAATCACAATATTGATACATATTTTTAATCCTATCTAAGCTTTCGGCTTACATAAGCCATTATCAAAGATGACAATTACATTACAATATATTAAGCAATACACGGACACGACAGTGATGATAGTCTGTTTCTGTTTAAATGGATGATTTAGAAGCAACGATAAACTCGTGCATATAAGACGCTGGAAGGGAAAATCGCACCGCAGATCATGAAATCACACATGACCACGCGAGAGTGAAAACGAGAAGTGTTAAGTATGGGAAGCCGTTGGTATAATGATAATGTTATTAAGCTTATCAGACGATATGAAAAGAATTTACATAAAATAAATAGACAACACTTGGCGACGAGGATGAGATACAAAGCATAAGAAATCCGACAACGCAAAGTACTAAAAACTTCCTGCTGGAATTGTTCGTAAGGTTTGGTGTAGTAGACACAAGTGTGACGGACAACGGAAGTCAGTTTACGTCGACACAATTTAAAGATTTCTGCAAGTAATACAATGTCGAACATGTTACCACAGCTCCATATCACCCAAGATCAAACGAGTTAGCTGAAAAAATTGTGGACACTCTGAAAAGAGCTCTAAAGAAAGCTCAAGTGTGTTATGGAGTGGTTTCACAGTGGAGGCTTGTATTTGTACTAAGTCGGTCCTAAAATAGGTTCGACGTACAAAACGTTAGGAAGTTGATATAGTAGGTATAACGCAGAGTAATCTAGTTGTGGTCGCTTGATGCTTTCTAGTATCCGACTAACGGTCGTCCCCCGTGGGCGTCATGTGGCACAAAGGCCTTTTAACGTGGGATATCCGGAGCCCGTGAGCTCGGCCAAAAATACCCATTAAACCCGTATAAACGGGTTCCAGGTCAATTTACCTCCCGAAAAAAGAATCCGCCCTTCGGCGTAGCCTCCTTCGGGTTCCTCCCCGCCCGAAGGCAGAAAGTTCAACCGATCAGCCAGTCGACTGACTGACCGACCTCCCTGAGCGACTGCCTCTACTCCTACTTGTTATAGGAGGGGGAGTCTATTGACAATAGATTAGGTGTGTTCCAATATAACTGTTCAGGACCAGTAATATTGCTGATTCTTCTTTATATTTTATCTAGAATTTTTATTATTAGGTTGGTGCAAAAATAATGACGTAATAATGTCGTTTTTTGACGTATTTTTTAACGTCAAAAAACGACATTGCCCGTCATTATTTTTCCCTGCTAATATTATCATTGTTGTTAGGTTATTGGGACGAGGGGAAATGTTATTGGAGCAAACTACTAGACCGGTCAGCGCACAATAATCGCTTACCGAGAGTTGCTCTACCTTTACACACTGGGTTTTTATATAGTCTACAACGCTTTTTTTATCACAGAGTGCAACAACAAATTAAAAAAACGAATATATATATATATATATATATATATATATATAAAATCAAAAATATGGACTTTTAATTCTTATTAATTAGTATAATTTTCTTTTGTGTCTACTTTTGTGTCTACCCTTCCATATATGTCTACATTTTCCTTATGTGTCTATCTTTTTTGTCCTTTGTCTGCCTTCTTTTTTTTGCTCTGTCTCGACTTTTCGCTATGAGGTGATCTTCATCTGCTTACCTTTGCAGCTGTTACGCCTGGAAAAGGTCAAAGTATACGAAGGGTATTTGAGACAAAAGGTCATATCTGCCGATTTTACAGCAATGTAAAGCAAAATTTTCATAAGTTCTAATAACTGCGTAGTACTCAATTCAAAAGGTCACTTTTTTGCTCATTGTGTTCTAAAATGGATATTTTTTTAAATTAAAATCGTCAAAAAAAAAAAATCTAATAAAAAATTAGATTTCTGTGAGTTACTTTTTTTTTTATATTTATTTCACTTTCTCCTTTCAAGTACTGAAAGGCATATCGGAGGAAGGTGAACACATTTTTCTTTGCCTAAAAATGGAAGGAAGGGGCCATGTGCTAAAATGGCGAACGGAGATGAATGCGTCCACAGTTGAGCATATGATCGGTTAAAAAGCTGAAAATAATATTTTACTTAGCAACGAACTGCCAAGCCTGCATTAGAATTTAGTCGCTTGTTCGACACGAAGCGTGACTCTCAAGTTAGCCATTGTTTAAAATTCAATGAACAGGTTCTTGATTTCTACAAGACAACGAAATATTTTCCATTTTCTGCACTACTCTCGAAAAAAAAAATAAAGGAAACCATTTTGTAAAAAGTTGAAACTTTTACGCAGCGGGATAAAAAGTTCAACTAAAATATAAGGGCTATTTCGAGAAATACTGATTTCAAGTATCAATTGAAGAGGTAATTCAATCGATTGATTATGGATTTTTTACAAATTAAGCAGCTTTTATATATATATATATATATATATATATATATATATATATATATAGTTGGTTTTTGCTATCGTCAAAAATGCGAAAGATATGAAACTGAAAGTTGCGGATACAGCAAATGCTAAGTAAAAAATACACACACACACACACATATATATATATATATATATATATATATATATATATATATATATATATATATATATAAAATATGTTCTCTATATTTTATATTACATTGTATGTATTACGTTTGCGTCTTTGACAATATTAGCGTGATATATATCACATGGTGAAATAACAATATTAGACTGATATATAGCAGAGGGTGAAATGACAATATTAGTGTGATGTATATATATATATATATATATATATATATATATATATATATATATCACAGGCTGATATGACATCATTAGTGTGATATATATTACAGGGTGATATGACAATATTAACCTGATATATAGAAACGAGAAAATGACAATATATATATATATATATATATATATATATATATATATATATATATATATATATATATTTAAAAATTATTATTAAATATCAAATATAACTATCTATATTTCATTTATCAGATTTTTTTAAACATTATTTAAGGAAAATCTTTGACAATGTCAGCAAAGAATAGCTATTTCATTTCTTTGATTACGTAAATTTTTATTTTTTATATACCTAGTAATGTATAGTTTTTCATGCATGCAAAATAAATTTCATATAAGTTATTCCAAAATTGGCTTGAAAATGAAACAGGTCTAGGGACTTTAATTTAATTCTATAATTGAATTTGAAGTTTTTAGTTTCTGTTTTCGAAACATGGTAATTTCTGTGTAGCGATGAAACCATATTTTTTAAATTAGTAAACTTATAATATATATATATATATATATATATATATATATATATATATATATATATAAAGAAAAGAACAGTAAGATATATAATCCGGTGTTCTTATAGATATTTTATTTTTACAAAATAGTGCATAATGTAAATTTACAGTGCATTAACATTATAAATTAACTGATTTAAAATATGTTTTTTTTCGCTACACAGTTCTAACCATGTTTCAAAAATGGAAGCTAAAATCTCCGAATTTAATTTTGTAATTAAATTAAAGACATTAGTTCCATTTCATCCTCAAGCGAATTTTGGAGAAACTTATTTATTGTTGGGTTTTAAAGGCACAGCAAAAAATCATAATTCACTTTTCCAAAGATATAGAGAAACCCATTCATCTAGACAAGGGATGTTTGCGTGTTCATTATCGCTTTATTTTGATGTATCAGTTATTAGTTACGTTTTGGTAGGGGCAGGGATGTATTTTTCAATGAAATCTGACATCCGTTAAATGCATGTCGTCTGGATTTTTATATAAAATTTTTAACGGCAAAAATTCTTACGGCATTTTATCCTATATATATATATAAATATATATATATATTGTTTTAAAATATTGGCGCGTTGCTGTGTGGTAAGATTTATGACTTCGAGCTCGTGGATACAAACACCCTATTTCGCTTTCCTTACATAAGACTCGGGTTCGAATCTCATCATGGTCGATTAATCAGAAAGGTGACTTCTTGATGTTACCGGTCTGGCGAGGTGATCTCAGCTTGCGGCCCCTTTGAAAAATACCTGAAAACCATCCCACGGGTCGACCCAAGCCAAGTAAAATCCGATAGACGGAGCCATATTGAAGTCGTTGATGGCTGTGGTAGATCGAAGTCACAAGTCATCGAGGCTTTGAGCGTGCTGGCCAACTTCAGACTGTTGATCACGCTAGTTAATTCCCTCTCTCCCAGAAACTGTAACTTAGCATAGTTGCAGTGTAAATCACGGGTGTGGGTCTGTGGATGTTGAACAAACACAAATGTGACTGAGTAGGCGTCTGCAATAAGAATTGGCTAGCCGACTGGCATCCTCGGATAAGGGCCGCCAGTCATTATCATTAGGATTTTATTTAATATCTGTGGACGTTTATAGATATAGACAGTGTGGACATAGGAATAAACACTGTATGAAGACTGTCAATTTTGTGTCCCTGGGAAATCTGTCATAATGCCAATTGTTGAAACAGGGGGATAGGCTGGTCATTATCTGTCCTAATGGTTAAATTAGCTAGTGCCAACCACTGACCTAATCAGCTGAGAATATTTCTTGCGCCAAAACATCACATTCTTGCTTGTCATTCTTAATACAATCACCCTAATAGCAGAAATTCTCCATGGAATCCTAACAAGTTCCGTTATTTGCAATTGTCTTTGAAGAGAGAAAATGAGAATTACAACTTTTGAAAATCTTAACACGAATGTAGCTGTGAAGTTCGAAACCAATGCTACGACTCTTTTAGCAGTCTTTATATATATATATCTGTACAAGCAGTAGAGCCCGGCGTTGCCCGGGGATGTAACAGTAAGAGATAGATCAAGTATCCAACATCATAAAGACTGAAAAATAAAATTGACAAAGATTATTGTTTAAGGTTGACGGACACGCATGTCTTAATTAGTTTTTTTTTTGTTTTTTTTTTTTACGAATTGGTCAAACCCAAATTCAAACAAAAACATTGTTTTCAATCGTTATGAGTCTACCGATTGAATAGAATTTTATTATAAACAATTGTCTTGTAAATTGAATTTTAAAGCATTCTGAATGTAAAAATAAAGAAAAAAGTGTGCAAACACTACCTGACAAAAAATGTGAAGTTTTGTTGAAATCGGGTGAAAAATGTAGGAAATCCGATCCCATATATAACGAACACACACACACACACACACACACACACACACACACACACACACAAACAAACAACCTGGGTTTTATAATAAGTATAACTCGATATGAGTTCTCCCCTTTCATTCTGGCGACAGAATCGTGTTTTATCGTGTTTTTCAAATTGATTTCGTGCAAAAAAACAATTGTGTTTTCCAATTTTGGGCGCTGTCAGAACCACCGCAAAGGTAATTTTACGCAGTCCTGTGAAGTTTTGTTGAAATCGGTTGAAAAATGTGGAAATCCGATCCAATATATAAACGTACAGACACACACACACACACACACACACAATCTGCGTTTTATAATAAGTAAGATGTATTAATCATCGGAGCAATTGGTAGTCGTTTGAAATATGACACAGTCTGTTAACATGATAATTAATGAAATAAAAGTAGTAATAAAACAAGGCATTTGATCGATCTATTTACGTATATATATATATATATATATATATATATATATATATATATATATATATAATTGGATTGAGTTTGTGACCCTGGGTTTCACGCTATTTGCGATCATCAGACATATTGATTAAGTTTTAAATTTTGGATTTATATATGGTTGCGTATATCGGTGTTTTTATGATAGTGGGAGGAATAATTGTCCTTGCTACGCCACTCATACTTACGCAAGCATACATACAGGCACGTTCACACATTGACGTACGCAGGCATACATACACGCACGCTCACTCACTGAAGCTCGCACAAAAATAAACATATATGAACAGTGTGGGACTGAGCATATATGCACATCCATGTGTCGGTGCGTACATACTTACGCATTTGGCCGATGTATTCAATGTTGGATTGTGTAGCGAATATCTTTCGTCAACATTGGATACAGCGACCAAATGCGTACGTATATACGCAACGGCACATTGATGTGCATGTATATGCATTCTACGATGGTAGTTTCAAAGTTTTTGAAAGAATATATTTGAAAGAATATATATATATATATATTTTATTCTAGACAAATTATTTTCTGTTCTTTTTCTCTCCATCACCTTTGTCGCTGACGATCCCACATTCTGACAACAGAAAATCAACTAAGAATGGTGATATATTGTAAGAGCCAGGACGCAAATTTACTGTGGATGAACTAGAGGATCAAGACATTTTGCAGACATTTTCGTCTTAGTAGATTATTTTCTCTTTTAATCAAAGTAGCATTTTCTATGTCAAAATTGTGGTCAGTTTCGTTACGGTATACAACCAATGCGTTTTATGTGTTATTTTTTAAAATGTCCCTTTGAGGTTCATATAGTCTTTTGTTTAAACTTCCAGAGGATTCTCCAATGTAGTCATTCTGGCCACTCCTGAAATTCATACAGTAAATTCCTCCTTCAAGTTATGGCTTGCTGTCTTGTTTTTATTGATTAAGTCTTTGATTGTTAAAGATAAAGCTCTGACAAATTTTATGTTGAGTTTAGATAAATTCTTTTCAGTTGTAGTTGTGATAGAATTCGTGGGTAGAATAATATAATTTTTTGATTCATCAGGAAGGGTAGCTCTTCTATTTTATGAGCCTTTTACTTTGCATTGAATATGAAATAGGACATTGAAAGGTTTTGAAAGTGTTTTCAATATATTTCTCTTCTTCATGTAAATAATGGGGGCTGCAAATTCTGAATGCTCTTGAATAGAATCCAGTGGTCATTCCGGATTTTATTTTTTTTTATTTCTGTTCCCATTATAACAACACCAGCAATCAATGTACGATATCTCATATAGAGCGTATGTTATGTAAATATAAAAGTTGACAGCGGCGACAGTCTGTTTCATGCTTAAACGCAATCAGGCCATATATATATATATATATATATATATATATATATATATATATATATATATATATTTCCATATATGAGTAGGCGTTACGTTTATTTTAAACAATATATTTATTTTCGTCTACCATCCTGAATATTGAAAGAAAGCAAAGGAACGGAATAATGTGAGTAAAGGTTCGAATCCTGCCGGAGGGCGTATATACATTTTAATAAAATTTTCCAAATACACAAGCCTGTAGACGAAAATAAATCTACTTCTTAAAACAAACTGAACATTTACTCAAATACACACATACACACACACACACACATATATATATATATATATATACAAGTATATAATTGGTATATACGGAATGAATTCCAATAATCAAGAATTACTATTCTTAAAAGAGTGCTCAATACAATAATATCAAATTTTATCATATAATTTAATAATTATTGGTTAGAATAAATTCTTTTTTAATATTACCCGTATTTTAAAGATCTGAATAGCTATTATAACATGATTTCGTTGTCAAGCTTTTGAATATTCCTATACTTGGGTTTTGATTGGTCATTCTAGCTTTTGTAACAATGTTTTCCCCTAGCGACGGATCGTTAATTAATTTGAAACCATTTATTTTATATTCAACATCATTACTTGATAAGACACCGAGGGTGTTGAAACAAAATGGCTATTTTTGTAGTGATTTTATAACATATTTATGTTATAACTTTTTTTTATAAAAAATAATTATATATATATATATATATATATATATATATATGTCTTTTCACATTTATCTATTTGGGTGTGTTCATATCTATATACATCAGATTTATCTATCCATCTCTTTATCTATCTGTCTTGCTAGGCATATAGCGATCTATCTATCTATCTATCTATCTATCTATCTATCTATCTCATTCTGTTCAAATTTATGACATTACAGATAGGGCTTGGAAAATTTGATACCCACAGGACAGATTGAAGGCGAGAATAAATGGATGGTGGAAGGTTTAGGAGATATAACATATAACATAATTTATTCAGAACTACAAAGGACAGGCAGTTGTGGAGAGAGAGAGAGAAAGAGAGTCATGATAGCCAACGTTCTGAAGTCAAATGACGCATGGACGCAGAAGTTGTTTAAGAGTCAGATGTCCTGCAACCTATGTGATTTAAATAAGTTACATCAATTCTGACCTTCACAATCAGCAAAAATGAACTAAATTTATTGATCTCGTTTTCGTGACTTTCTTTCCCCGCTTCTTTGAATCCATGTTGTCCGTCCTTTTTTTTTCTTCTCCATTCTAACTGCCGCTTTTCTTTTCCAACTTTGTATAGGATTTCGCTTCCCTTGATTTAGCAAATTTTATGATTTCTTTCCTACGCGCTAAGCTCGTTTGATTTTTTCGTTTAAACTCTGCTTTTTCCGAGAGTCCTTTTATATATTATTATATTTATTTTTCATTCATGTTTTTTTTTTATTTTCTTCTTCTAACTTTTAATTCTCGATTTACATCTTTCTTTATTTTGTTCTATTTCATTCTTCCTTTTCTTTTTCTTTTTTTACTCTTTCGTTTTATTTGAATCTTTTTTCTCTCCTTCGAATCGCATTCACGTTCTTTTCTCCATTTTCCTTCTTTCATTTAGCTTTTTAATAGTTCATTTTTTCTTTTATTTTATCTTTCCCTTTTTTCAAGTTCAGCACCATTTATTCTTCTTTCATTTTTTTTTTTGTCTTTTCTTTCTTTTAACTTATTCAGACATTTGTATTCATTTTTTGTTCCTTGCTTATCTACTTCCTCTTTACTTTTACTTTTTATTCTTTTACTTTTTTGGTTATTTTTCTTCTTTAAATTCCATTTTCCTTTCTTCCTAATTCATACTTCATTTTTTTTTTATCTATCTTTCTTTTTCTTTTTTGAATCGTATTAGCGTCACTTTTTCTCTCTTCTCTAATCTCTTTGCTCTTCTTTTTTTGTGTTTTAGTTTTCTTCCTTTCTTTGCTATTTTTTCTTTTACTTCTCTTTTCCCTACGTCCAGGATAACAATAACGGCAGAGAGAGTAAGAAAAAATGAAACAAAAATAGAATTTTTTTTTTAAAGAAAAAAAAACGCTGAATTAATATAGAAAAAAGCTGCTAAATTAATAAAGTAAAAACCTGTTAAATTAATAAAAAAAACAAACGCTAAATTAATAAAGATTAGAAACCCGCTAAACTAAGAAAGGAAAACAACCGCTAAATTGATAAAAAGAAAACCAGCTAAATTAATAATGAAAAACCCGCTAAATTAATAAAGAAAAAAAAAACGCTAAATTAATAAAGATTAGAAACCCGCTAAAGTAATAAAGAGAAAAAAATGCTAAATTGATAAATAAAAAACCCGCTAAATTAATAAAGGAAAACCCGCTAAATAAAGAAAAAAAACCGCTAAATTAATAAAGGAAAAAGCGCTAAATAAAGAAAAAAAACGGCTAAATTAATAAAGGAAAAAGCGCTAAATAAAGAAGAAAACCGTTAAATTAATAATAATAAAACCGCTAAATTCATAGATTTCAGTTGTGTGTAACACTACTTTCTTCATATTTCTCCTCCTGTATGACCTTCCCACTCAAAATGCCGACCACGTTCAAGCAGTTCTTGACTACCTTTTTACTGTCGAATAGTTAAATGTAACCGCCTCTTCTACTCCAAGAGCTTCTTCTCCCTCACTTCCTGACAGTGGAACTTCTTTCCTCTTACTTGCTTCCCTGATAACTAAAATCTTCAAAAATTTAAATGTAATGTCAATGGACATCTTCTGAAGCCTTGATCCCGTTCTTCGTTTTATTCTTTCCTCTATCCCCGCCATACCGTAGTTTTTTTTCTCTTACTTTCACTCTCTGTAACCCCTTGCATACTAGTGGAACTCCCGCCTTGCTTGGGGTGAAATGTTTAAAAAAATAAAATAAAATAGAAATAGAAAGAAATGTTGATCAGCCATATTATCAAGAAACATTTGTATAGATTTTTTTTTTTTTGAGTTTGAGGTTCAATATCCTTCCCGAGGAGATATCCGTTGATCGCGACTGGCGGTAGTTCGGGGTCTGATCAGCGATGATGGAATGTAATTAGTTTTGCAGGCATTGAATGTAACCAGAATAGCAATTTTACTAAGCTCCCGTAGGAGCGACCAGTGGAGATTGAACACAGTATTCAGTCGTAACTGATCGAGCGAGCCATGCTCGCTAACCACTGCACAACGCAGAAGTGTCCTTAAATGTACAGTGTAACCCGGATATAAGAAAGTTGTCGGGACCGGAGAAGAAGTCTCTTATATCCGGGTTTCTCTTATATCCGGGTTTGGTCTATTTTATATACATTAACACAGGCTCTAATTTGGGACCAGAGAAAATCTCTCTTATATCCGGGTTTCTCTTATATCCGGGTCTATTATATCCGGGTTACACTGTATATGAATTATCCACAACATTAAAAAAAAATTAACATTTACTGGTTAGAAAATGAGTTTTTATTTACCAACATATCAACCTCTGGGTTAGGGCACCTACGCGTGATGTAATAGTAAGCTTGTCTCGCTAGAACAATTACGACTGAGTAGTGAATTCGATCCTCACTGGGTGAAGAGCCACTCGAGGTAGAGGTTTACTGAGTAAGGGGCACAGTTTATGCGGATACGTGGGAAAGATAACTGTTAACTTGAACGCGTTAAGATGATTAGGAAGCATTCTTTTGGGGAGTCGGTTACGCAAAGCATCCGTTCGTAAGAAGAAGCTACTCGAAAGGAACTTGCATCTCGCCAGTAGAATACGACCGAAATGAGAGGGGATCTCTAAAATCTGCAGGGTATGGTGAGTCGTAGAGTGAAAGATAGATCTGGTGGAACTAAGGAGTGTAGTCTGTCTGAGCACTTTCCATAAAGATAGCGATAGTGCAGTGAGAGGCTTGCGACATTTCGTCTGTGGGAAAAGGGGTTGTAGGGTGGAAGATAATTCCTCACCGAAAAGGATGCAGAGACGCTTTTGGACTCTGTCAAAAGGGGAAAGTGAAAACTGGGAAACTTCTGCTCATATATGGCAACCATTCTTCATTTTAGGCCTAATCTGGCGCCTGTAAAGGTAGAGGATAGCATGAGGAGTCAGGTACTTACTGGAGCGGTACAGGGGTCCGACCATTTTACCAGCATTTTCTTTAACGATGGAACATATAGTTCCATTTGAGTTTGACTCAAATGTGGTTGGTTTTCTTTTTTCATTTTTTAACACTACCATGCTCTAACCTTAGAAGAGTTAGATCAGACCAAGAGTAGATTATTATGCCGCCATATTTAGGCTGGGGCTGTTTAATCCTCACTGTCCAGTATAACCGGCATATTCCCGGAATAATTCTGTCGAAACAACTGATTGGTTGATTTTTTCTTTTTTTACGGTTTATCGACCCTGTGTTAGATATTTCAAGTCAAATTATACTTTGGAACCGACTCCCAAAAGAATGCTTCCTAATCATCTTAACGCGTTCAAGTTAACAGTTATCTTCCCCACGTATCCGTATAAATTGTGCCCCTTACTCAGTAAACCTCTACCTCGAGTGGCTCTTGGGTCTTGTACAGGATGAACATTATTGTAAAAAAATATCAGATGCAAAAGGTATGCCTGTATTGTAAAATGAAATTTCTTTTTTTCAATGCAAGTAAATATTGGATTACCACTATTTTGAGAATATCGACGATTTTTCCAGAGACTAGGAAAATATTTAATCCATAGCTAGGGGAGAATTCGTACCCTTCCCAAGTCTCTCTGTACGTAATTGAATGTAACGACTAGAATTCAAACTCGTCTATTGGAGTCCTCATTACAAGCCGTTTTCCACTGCGCCACACGCACAACTCTCTGTGAAAGCAAAGTTTGCTTAAGTGGTTTCTCTTGGTCGGCCTCACTCTCAAAATACTCCTATTGTAAAGCTTGATACCATAGTGACTAGCTATGGAAAGCTTGCTTTCACAGGGTCATTTCGGGCTTGGAATTGCCGGCCCACGGCATGAATCTCATCTCACGACGATCGCGATGTATAAGGGCCTTACAGGTTTTAGGACTGAGTCGTCAGGACCTACAAATATAATTTATTTAAAGAGGTAAAGCCTTGCGCGTAACTATCCACAATGTTCGGAATAACAGATGAAAGAAAATTGGTGTACGGTGGGTCACGGAGCCTCCAAACACTCCTCCCCATTTTTTTACTTCAGAGTTGTCATTCTCCGTGACTGGTTGCCAACCAAGGCTAAAAGGACCAATCTATCCTATCATTTAACCCATAGCTGGAGGAAGAAGAGATAGGTTTTTGCCTTGAGCAAAATTTCGTCGATTTGTCTGTAAAGGACAGAGCACGCCGATTTCTCGTCTATATATATATATATATATATATATATATATATATATATATATATATATATATAAAAGTGAACATTGAAGTCAACTTGACTTAAATGTTCACTTTTATATTCTCTGATATTGAGCATTTTATCCCATAAATATAGCACACCTTAAGACTATATATATATATATATATATATATATATATATATATATATATATATATATATATATAATAAATTTAATGGATTTGTCTATATTTCTGAGATGAGGTATTATGTACACTGTTTTATATTATTCGGACTAATGTCCTCATCTTTGTTGCCATATTTATCCGATCCTTCAGTACCTGTCTAGATTTCTGAGATGAAGTATTATGTACACTATTTACATTATGCGGACTATTGTCCTCATCTTTGTCGCCATATTTATCCGATCCTTCAGGATCTGTCTATATTTCTGAGATGAAGTATTATGTACACTATTTACATTATTCGGACTATTGTCCTCATCATTGTCGCCATATTTTTCTGAGTCTTCAGTATCTGTCTATATTTCTGAGATGAGGTATTATGTACACTATTTACATTATTCGGACTATTGCCCTCATCTTTGTCGCCATATTTGTCACTTACGGGGTAAAATATAGTTCACAAACTATATTTTACCCCGTAAATTAAATCTATTTATTATGGCAACATGAGGACAATAGTATAATAATACTAAGATATTACCTGAAGAAGCCCAGAGCGTACAACGGCCTAAACATCGTGAATATGACAATACAGAAATATAGAAAGATATTAAATTATTCTCATTTACTTTTTTTTCTTTTTTTTTAATTTTGAAAATGTTTTCTGTGAATCAATATCGTGATTTTGAAGTGATTATATAAAATATCAAATTTCAATCATATGTCGTATCATATATTCACAATTTCAAATTTAATTTCACGGTATTTGGTCTCGTTTTGGATTTCCCTCTTCTCATTTTTTTTATTTTTTACAATCTTTTAATTACGCTCACATCTGTCGATTTTTCCTTGTTTGGATTATTTTTTTTCTATCGTAACGATGACAGATAATTAAATCGAATTGAATTAACAAAATGCCAAACCATTTTCTTGCTTGTCGAAAGCTAAACAAAACTTAATATATAGGAAGGGAAGAAAATCACAAAATAATTAATTCTAAACTCCGATTGGGAAATTTTAAATGAAATATAAACTTATTTATATCTGCAAGATTGTATGCACATGTCTCAGGGTTTCGTTGAATACACTGACATACACATATCTCGCTTTCTCTAGTATGAACATGGCATTACGAAGATGAAACCATTTTTATAAGGTTTATTCAAGGTAATCTATGAAATATTTCACCATATCTGTTTATATCTATTGGTCTAATTGTCATCTTTGTAAGACATAATAAGCCTCTCTGTGAATATGTACACACACAAACATATATAGAAAAAGAGGGCTTGGAGAATTTGACCCTCACAAGGACATATTAACAGAAAGAGCGAAAGTGGAAAAAGCGAATAACCTAAATATAAGAAAAAACTAGAATTTTTTTTTGCGCAGTATTTAGTATTGTTGAAGTTAACGCTAACCTTACTTGTCTAGATGTGCAAACATTTTGGAGCAATGGGGGAGGTGCTGCCGAAGGGTTGGGATCCCCTGGACCAGACATCTCTTATTTATTTGTTGTGTTCTGTCCGAACACAGAAACAAAACTGAGAAATAATATGTTGCTTAACCAAAGAATGAAGAAAAATGTAACCCAAGTAGCACTGGCTGCTCAGTCAATGTATGTCGAATGTTACGTCATAAGAAAACGATTAATATTATTATTACAATTATTACCAAGGAAATGGTTAATATTATTATTATGATTAGAGATGAGAGAACAGATACTATGGTTTGATCTCAGCCCAATTGACACTAAGTGGAGAAAATGGATACACTGAGTAGCAGGGTCTTGCTTGGCCAATGAATGCTGAGTGTTTCCTTATGAGGAAAAGGCTAATATTATCATTACCATTACAGATTATAACAACAGATGCTACATTTTGATCCCAGCCCGACGGACAGGTACTGAAGAAAATCATATGTCGAGTCTCACTGGCTGCTGAATCAATGATTGCCGAATGTTTCCTTATAAGGAAACAGCTAATATTAGAATCACCATTACTCTAGTGTAAATAAAAAAATGGAAAAAATGATTTTTTTTTTTAAATTTAGCAACCAATATATATATAATATATATATATATATATATATATATATATATATATATCCAAGATGTATCTTTTTACAAATACTTTCATGGCAATTGCTCCGAGGAGCTGCATTCGCTAGTTCCCAGACTTCATGAATTCAAACGCCCTACGAGGCTGGCATCCTGCTCTCACCCTTTCACTGTCGAAACTCCTAAATGTAGCCGTCTCTTCTACTCCAATAGCTTCATATCTCGCAAATCTTCTGTAACCCCTTGCGTCCTAGTGACTTCCCCCCTTGCTTGGGGTGAAACGCTTAATATATATATATATATATATATATATATATATATATATATATATATATATCAAGACATATATATATATATATATATATATATATATATATATATATATATATATATAATCCAAGATATCTAAGATATATATATCCAAGATATATATATATATATAAATAAATATACCTAAGATATATATATATATATATATATATATATATATATATATATATATATATATATATATATACATATATATATATATATATATCATATATATATATATATATATATATATATATATATATATATATATATATATATATATATATATATATATATATATATATATATATATATATATATATATATATATATATATATATATATATATATATATATATATATATATATATATATATATATATATATATATATATATATATATATGTATGTATGTATGTATGTATGTATACCTGAAATAATCAGAACGTTTTCTTCGATGTCTTTTTAATTTCTTTTCTTTTTTTTCTTTTTCAGGTAAGTGTTACTTATTGGTTTATATACGGAAGCAAAACGAATCCAGTTATGGCCGTGTAAGTAAACTCAGTGAATAAGATTTTCTTGTTAAGTCTTCTTTGAATAATTCTCGGCTGCAAACCTGAGTTTGAATGAACAAAAATCCGATTGGAAATAAGCATCATTAAGCCTTTTATACCATCTTATAAAAATATACGATTATACTGCAGAAATAAGGCAAATCGATACCTCCAATCCTACAAAACAAGAACAATGGTACTGGCATCAAAATTAGATAAATATACTTCTCTTCCAATGGAGGA